GCGTTCCTAAAATATAAGTCAGATAAAACCAATGAATCGTATGAAGAATATAAAAGAATCAGAACTGAAACTCATCAATTGGTAAGAAAAACAAAAACAGATGAATGGATGAGAGCGATCATGCTGATGATCTTCAAGAAAGTAGATAAGAAAGACCTCAATAATTATCGAGCAATAAATCTGTTAAATAGAACACACAAATTGACAACAAGAATAATAGCGACAAAAATAAACGAACGAATAATTCTGCAAGAGGAACAGCAAGGATTTCGGACAGGAAGATCATGCACGGATGCCGTTTTTGTAATAAGACAAATAAAAGAAAAGTCGCTGGAATACAACAAACCAGCATATATGTGAATGATAGATTTGAAGAAAGCGTTTGATAGAGTGAGAATTCGGGGCGCGATACATTCATCATATGACAGGGGAATACCACTGGATTTAGTAAAAAGTATTGAGAATATATATAAAGATAACATAGCTATGGTAAGATGTAAAGGAAAACTCTCGCAACCTATCAAGTATGAAACTGGCATTAGATAAGGAGATTCGCTGAGCCTACTAATATGATACTGATAATGGATGGAATCATAAAGAAATTTAAAAAAGAAGAATATATAGAATGGGAGAAAAGGAAATGCTACGCCGGCGACGCCATAATAATAGCCGAAAATGAAGATGACCTACAAAGATTAATTAAAGAATTCGAAGATACGGCGCTCATATACAACATGGTGATTTCAACAGATAAAACTAAATCGATAGTGATATCAGCGGAACCGAGACGATGTAAACTGGTCGTAAATAAAAAATAATAAAACACGTGATGGAAGCGGAATACTTGGGAATCAAACTGTCACGAATACCTCACAACGGAAATGAAAACTAGGATATATAAATCAACAACAAGACCGATAATGATGTACACAGCGGAAACAATAGCAGATACGGCGAAAACGCAAAGATTATTGGAAACAGCAGAAATGAAAGTCTTACGAAAAATAACAAATCAAAATCTAAGAGAGAGAGTAAGAAGTGAGGAAATACGAGCGAGAGGTGGTATAGAGGAAATAAACCTGTGGACCAAAAGAAGAAAAATAGAATGAAAGTAACACATATAAAGAATGGCAGAAAATATAACAGTACGAATAGCAAGAGACAAATCGCGAAATGGGAGAAAATCAATGGGACGACCGATTAAAAGGTGGTCAGACAACATCAATTGAGGCTAAAAACCGAAGTAAAACAGGCATGTGCCTATTAATAAAGTAGGAAGAAGAAGAAGAAGTATTGAGTTGTAATTTATGATAACTAGTCAAATTTCTTAGGACACACTTTATATCGAAAATCTTCTGTTCGTCATCTACGTCGACAGTATATGAATATTACCAAGCATAATCCTCCTGCCGCAAAAACGTTTCTAACTGTATTTAGCGTAACAGTCAATTAGATAGTCATTACCGAATAATACGAATATACCACCGCTAAAAGCATTCCAGGGATGTAGCTAAACGAACATAGCTGTCTCATTCAAGACACACACTTTGAATGGAGCAAGCAAATGTACCTTATGTGCTCCATCAGCTAGCACGCTATTAATATTATGTACTTTGATGGCCTATTATGTGTTCGGGTGCCGAGACTGTGCCGCCTTTACACAAGGATCATTGTTATAATTAGTAGTAGTGCTCTGGATCCATATTTCGAGGCGGATTCGAACCGATGCACTGATTCGCTGCCTCTAGTATAGTCTAAGGGAGTGCATTGCAGGAATCGTACCACAAGCGCCACTTCCACATTAATAGTATTTAACAAAACAACAACACGGTGTGACTTTAAAGCGCAGAGTAAACTTAAAAGTGTCATTTCCTGGAACAAACACATTGTCTTTGTTTGGCTCATTTTCAAAATGTATAGCAATTATTAATCTATAATATGAACTGCAAACAATACCCTTTTGCATACGAAGGTTGTTTCAAAAATAAGGTTCACAGATTTTTGCAGACGCAAGGAATACACTAATTCACCATTGGAAATATTAATTACTAAGCTATTTTTCTACACTGACGCCATTTTTTCGACCTGTAGTCCACTTATTCACTCGCCGCTTGGAAACCTGGTAACTGCTTCTTACAGCTCCTTGTTGGCTGAGTTCACAGACAAGATTGCCTTTTCCCAGATAGACGGATATACCGAATTACTCAAGCAAAAATTCAATATGTGCTTAAAAAAGGGAAGATACGAGGAAAGCAAAGCTGGATCATTATGATATTTAAATCATCGTTACCAGTCGACGTACTTTCGATTTCTCTCAATACGAGAAGAACTATATTATGTTCCGGCATCGTCTCATAAATAGGACACGTGTAGTACCCCGTTTCCCGGCCGAACCCACGAGTTCAAAGCTCGCACGCAGCGAAGAAAATCTCTCATTCTCGCACCACGCGGTAAACATCGTAACACGTAGATTAGGTACTATTGCCCATGTCTTCTGTTTCAATAGATGATGCGGCGACCTTATTGTAATGTTCACGCATTGTTCCAAGGCTGAGATTTCGAAATCCGGTCTCGTTGATGACGATAGATAATATATTCTAGCCACCTAAGGTGAACCCTGTGGTAGCGGCCGCTATAATAGAAATTGACATACGCAGGGATGCGCGCTCTCTGTACAGCAATATGCGAGTTGTTTATTAAATAAGTAGCATTACTCTTTCCTCCAGGCTCCCCCAGGGGTGGCGCATGCTGGAAGATATCTACATTTTAACAAATAACTCAGGAGTACTCTAGCAGAGACTTCCATTGATAACTTGCTCTTCGGAGTAAGTCTGACCAAACTAGTCAAGTCTAAATACAAATCAGATAAATATGGGCAGCAACTTAAGGCCACAAGGCTGGACAACGTACTGACTACATCAGCCATCACCGATGATGAGGTACATAGAGATCAGCAGGGAACCTGTTGCATATTCATTCACAATGGCTGAATTTTATGAGTAGCGCTAAAGTCCTGAGTTCGTTTATCATTCACATGGCGACGGGTTCAGTACTCTGTTAAGTTAAACGCTTTTTGGCGACACTTTGCCTTTTTATACTTTGTATAGATAAAGCCGGGTTATTATCATATTATTATTATTATATATGGCAGACACTTGATTTGTTTATAGAAGATAGAACACTTAAGTTAGAACTGTGATCAGACTTTATCTTATAAAGAGATCTCATAAATCTTACTTGGTGGTGTAGAACCCTAGTTCAAATCCTCTCACATATCAATCTAAAGTTGAACACCGTGACGTCATGAGAACTGATACAGTTTAGAATTTAGTTATAACTTTTGATAAAAAATTAACTTTTAAAACACACACTAGGGAAATTACTTCTAAATCATACTTTGGTGAGGAGTATTTTTCAGTAACACACAATGGTATGATCACCAGATTTAGTTAGTAATTAAAATGGGTCGGAGTCAGAATGATTCAGAACTAATGAGTATGTTGAACATCGACTTCTTTAAACACTGCAGGGAATTTTTTGGTTTATGTTTTCTGTTTAAAATAGTTAATGGTGTCATAGATCGCCCAGAGGTCAACGTCAATGAAAGATGAACTCGCAATACAGAAGTGTTTACGATTCCACATCATTCTACGGATTATGGCATGAATGAAACAGTTACTAGAATTCTTGGATCCCTAATCTGCTTCAATATAGTGAAAACAATAATAATGGTAGTTTCCATGTGAACGCGTGGAATGCATCCGTTTCGATAGCCAGCGCGGGCCATAATAGTCCAGTTAAATAGCCGAAACTGAGACAAAAGTGATAACATAGCCACAAAGTTATTTCCGCCTGCGTAATGGTGTAATAAAGGATTGCGAATATTGTTGTGTGAATTTGGTTTTCCGGAAACCAGCCGTTTTTTGTAAAACAGCGAAAAACCCGAAAAACCTCTTTTTCGCTGAAACGGCTGAGGATATCTAGGATTTTTTTACACGAAAATTTTTCTAATTTTTGGGCCATCAATAAAGGTCTCTACAAATTTTTCGCTAAATTGCTTAGTTTTCGCGCTACAGCTTGCTGATGGCTTGTGGGCGAGGGGGTTTGCGGGGAAAGGGACGCGCGTACACCTGTCGCCAGACGCCGCACCGTTGAAGCGGAACGATCCTCTTTTATTTCGACGTCCTCAGTGTCTCTCTCTCAGTGATAGGCCAGTCGATTTCGAATAATAATCTCGTTTGTAGTTGTGGCGTTCACCGACTTATGCATATTAATGAATTTTTGAAATTTCTGCGTTTAGAGTACAAGATGCAGTAATTTTTCTTCAGCCGCTTACCGATTGACTGGAAAAGTGAGGTATAATATTTTCATTTAGAATTGCAACAACAATAAAAAACCTACAGCTGCAAAAAAGGTGTGAACGTGTATATAAATGAGTGGCAATGATAAGAATACATTACAGGATGTAGAAGCCCAATGAGTCATCAAAAGACTCGCTTTCGAGGGTCCACGTTATTTTCATAGTTATCCTCGCAAATCAGTTTGATCACCGGTAGTTGTTAATCTACGATCATGATAAGAGATTTAGCAGTTTTTGAGCCGCATCTATACGTTGGTCTGACCTACGCCAACGCAAATATGTAAAGAATAGACAATGGCCGATGGTGATGAGTATTTGACGATATCTTCTCTGCACACTCGCTGTGGAAAAACATTACTCCATTATATTTTAAGAGAGATAAGAAATTGTGTACAAACCATTAATTGGAAGTTGCATCAATTTTTTATATTTTCTATTTTGATAGAGTATAACAAATTATTTTTGTGTTCAAATATGTTTGTTTTACATTTGTTACTTTACATTTCACACATATAGTTGTACAAAAACCCTCACTTGAGCCAATGAAACCTACAATAGAGGAATTGAAAGTATATACAGTTCAATGTTATATCCACCCCAATCTGTTACAAGTAGGATAAATCATTGAAGGTCAAAGTCATTAAAGTCCTTCGTTAATTTCCTCGTCATCGGTCGTTGCATCGTGGCTGCTTGATGAGGTCTCATCATCTTCTGTTAAGTCCTCATTATCGGGTTCTACGGTAGTTTGTCCACCGTCCTCCTCACATGCATCTGTAGTAGTCGGAGTTTCGCTATCATGGTGTTCTGTAGCAGTCCATCTCTTTGAGTTGTTGTACGATTTTCCGCGGCATACTTTGCAAGCAGGGTTGCACTTTAGACCGGCTTTTCGGCAGTTACATCGCTTCGATTTGCAGGGCGCTTGGCATCCACAGGAAACCTGAAAAAAGGTTATCATAAGAATTATTATAATCTAAATATCAGTTGTCTTGTAAGGGAAATCAATGACAGGCCTTTTATAGTGCTCCATAGATCAGTCTAAAAATTTGTTATTTTAACTTGAAACTAGATCTCACATTGTTCAAAAATTATTTTAATTCCGGTCAGACAGTACATGAGATCAAAAGTGTAGTAAAAATTAGTTGTAGCAAGTTGTATTTATTGCTTCAAATTGAATACATTTCACACATACCTTTTGTAACAGTTCTTTTGGTGCGGGATCTGCTTCAGACATGATCGGAATGAGAATATTACCCTGTCTTGTCCATCCCCACAAGCAGGGATCTAATCTATGCTGAAGCCACACCTGGATTTGATAGTACACTCGTTTACAGTGCTGAAGCAAGGCAGGAGATGTTGGTGGCAGACATTCTAGGGGCGTTTCCTTTTTTGCCTTTGCTAAGTTTGTAGAAAACAAATTGTATCTGAAAGTCCCGAGAGAAGAAAACTGTTCTTTGTCTTTGTATAGTGCGAGAGTAATCGTCTCTGCACATTGCAGCAATTCGTCTTCCAAGCAGTCCTGCTCGTAAAACTTCAGCGCCAGCGCTCTAATGCTGTCGTTCTGCAGCAGCAACTTCACCAGCTTCATCTTCCCTTTCCCAAAAAAGCAGCTAGTAGTGTCGCAGCCCGCAAAGGCATGAGCAAAAAGTAGAAATGGTTGCAAATGTTTGTGATCCCGAGTATCGTACAATTGGTTCGCCTTGCCCCCCTGGCCCATCTTGTAATAGTACATGCTCTCTGAGGTTGGAGTGAGTCCAATAAGTAATATTAAGAGATCAACATCCGAGCCGACGACTATAACTCGTGATTTCCCGTGACGAAACAATTCGTTATGAGTCTTCAGAGCTGTTCTCACAATCTCAACATCCGCATCCTCTTTCGCATGGATCACGGTAAAACTGAATCCCTCATATGTTGCAAGAGTTTGACCAAGGTGATAAACAAATTGAGCCTTGTTTTTCACGTTGGACAAAAATGTCCTTTGGTTCAATGGGACGAGATTGTCTGGTTCAATTTCAACGTCCACGCCACAATTTCTTTCTTGTCTACGGTCTCGCTCGTATGATTTGACACCTATATGTTCATCTTCATATCCGTCGAAAACAATGATGACGCTCCGACCAAACCGCTGAACAAGAAAGTTCTTGTACATATCAAAGATTGCACGGTATGTCTTACTATGAGGCCAGACGAGGCTGTGAAGCAACCATCCTCCGTCTACAACAAACTGAGAATCTTCAAAAAATGCTCGTGAGGATAGGGTAGTAGTGAACATTTTATATAACTGTGACTTGTCGGTCTTTCGCATTGATCCTTTCTCGTCGAACAAACTAAGTGGAACAGGAGACATTTCGTAGTCGAAGCAAGATTTACTCATCTCTTTCCTTCCACGCATAGCCACAGACAGACGTTGAAATAATAGAGAGGTATCAACAGTGACAGTGGAAGACATAGCTTTTTGAGATTGTGTCCGTGCAAAGTCCAAATTCTTGATCTTGTACAATTTTGACAGCGACACCTTTTCATAAGTGCGTCCAACTATATGACACATTGCTTGTGTGCCACGCTCGAAAGCCATATGACAATTTATTTCCACACCACCAACAACTCCAGTTGACAGCGAAATTAATTCCTCGCGGACTTTGAATGGTTCATGCCCCTTCAACCAAGTAACGAATGAGGCAATGTCCTTTGCGTCCCATGCTTTTCGTCCTTTGCCCAAATCAACATGCTGCTCACTGTTTCTCGTCTCCAGGTTACAATACTCTTCCAATGCTTGCATCACATGCACGGCGCAAGGCATCCCCAGCAAATATCGAGACACGACACTCCGCGTAACACCTCTTCCGTATTTCAAGTCAGTCCCAAAAAACCTATTCAATGTCTGCTCGATTGTCATGTCACTCCAGATTCCGGACCAAGCCTTATCCGACCTGTGGATAGTGAAATAACCCTGCGTGGCAAAATGGTGAAACTCTTGAGGATCCATGATGTCCTGTAGAAGTACCATATCCTGCAAATAAATCTGAGCTGCTTTTGCATATTGAAAATGTCCTGCGGCATGAAACAATGGCAACATTCTTCGAACGCCATCAAGATGAAGGTCCCAGTTTCCAAGACGTTCTGCTTCAATAAAACGCAAGACAATAAGCACGGCTTCAATGTACTGCACCCACAACTTGGCTGTTGGGCCGTTATTTTTCAATTGCTTCAACTTTGTATAAAACAAATCAGACATTTTCTTCAGGTCCTTATCAGAGTCACTGTCCCCTAGCTTGAGAGGATTTTTCTGCCAGACACGCATCAATGATGCGATAACCCCTTTGATCTCGCCTTTTTCTTCGATTGAATCACAAATTACGATGCCTAAAGCTGTAAACGTCAAAATGTGTGCTCGGACTGCTCTTGAATAATTGTGCCCGTCCATCATTTTCTTTATGGATTCACTAGCGTAAGCAAGCTCCCACATAGATTCAAGTCCGCTTCCTCCCATGATAATACCTATTGCTCCCAAAAAAGACATTAACATGTGGAATCCGCCTAAGCGAACAAAAACGTCGGGCAACATTAACTTCGCTATAATATCGCGACATTTCATGTACAACGGCAAGTCGTAAGTTAAGATAGTGGTTTTTTGACCACATTTACGGGTTTCGCTCTTTGCATGCATGATTGATGTATAAATGGTTGTTAAACTAGATGGAACTTCGTTAATGAATTGTTGGCATTGCACCCCCGACCTTTGGAAACTTTCATTTTCCGAACATATCTCCATGAAACCTCGCCATGCTGGTACATTCTCAAGATCAACGTATTTAGCCCACAAATAAGTTGAGTAAGTAGGGGGGAATAGAGGCATGTCGACCATGGTCAGTAAATTTGTATCGATGAATTCTATAAGTTTCAAGCCCTCTTTTGGCGGCTCGACGTAAGGGAAGATTGGAATTTGTTCTTGCTTTGCAAGGATATTTGCGGAAGGCATCTCAGTAAGTTTTTCGACACTTCCACATTGTGTGATTTCGTGCTCCGGAGAGTAAACCTGTATTCCGCCTAAACAATGGAAAGTCTCCCGTCCGTCCAGGGTCCTGACGTTGTGGTCAGTATTATCAAATACAAATTGTACGAAAGGTTTTTCGATGATCAATCTGGGTGGATTCACTATTGTTGAAGCCTCATACAATTCAATATTGTAGTAAGAAGTGCAAACGCCTAATGCATGCAGAAGATTTATGATGTACTTGGAACCTGTTTTTCTCAGAATCAATGTCCCAATCGACAAGTGGAGGGTGGACAAAAACGTACGTGGCTGAATGAATGAAAGTATGCATTGAGATATCATGTCTCGCTTCACAGACTTTGCTTTTTTATCTTCCTCTTCGTCAGCGATAAGGAGAAAGTGCTCAATAAAGAACGAAAAGTGGGGTGGATAATCGGAGGAAAGATCGCTTACAAATTGATTGGACGGTGGGTACTTATCGCTTACAAATTGCTTGCTACGAATCTCTCTGTGCATTATATTTGAGGCCTGAAGCAAAATAACTTGTATCTGCCCTTCTGTGAAAGTTGATGGGTCTGCTGACACATTAAAAACATGATGACTTTTGAAGCATACACGTATATCTTTTCCCCCCATTATACTGCACTCAACTTCCTCACCGTAATGTTTTTTAATGTGATCTGCTACAGTCCTTCTATCTATAGAGTCATCATCCACAAGTTCTACTAACTTCGACAAATAATGAATAACATTTTTGTCTTCTTCAAGAACTTGCCACACAGGTTCTAACAATGAATCGATTCTAGACCAGTTTAGATCATCGATATTTTTTTTTAAACCATACGCATTGAAATGAGACATGCATGTCCGGTGGTATCTGCCTTGTATGCGAATTAAGCAAGAAATGTTCTCTAATCTTTCAACAACGCTAATTCCCAAAGAGTCATTTCTTTCCTTTCCCATTGCAATCAAGTTATCACGCGTTTCTTTTTGTGTGACTGTACAGATTTTTGTTTTCGAATCTTTTATTATACTCAAACCACAAATGAAGCAATTATCAGCGTAATGGAAATCAGGAACCTCATCCCTTGCAGCTACGACATTGTTATTTGGTGCATTCAACGCAAAATGCTGAGTATACGTTCCACTGACCGAGTATGAAAGTCTACACTTCTCATGGCAGTCCAGTTTTTCCTTTTTTTCCCAATCCAACCATTTTTTGTCTTCCACGCGTTTGCTCTGTGTGATCAGTGTACTAATTCCCTTCTTCCCCTCGATCCTGCAATTGCCGCGCGCCATCGGATAACTGCAAATGGCGCAGTTACTATTTTGCTGCATTTTATTCCTATTGAATAACAGAAACAATTTCAGTGAGAATCGGTATCCAGTAAGTGTAATGCAAATTTCGATCCAGTAAGTCTAATTTGTCTGATTTTTGTATTAATATCAGAACATAGTGCTAATGGAATTCCAAGACATGCTGAATTTTGGACAACATATACTGAATTTGGACTACTTATTATTAAAAAATACTATACTAACATTGGAAAATGAAAACAAATTTCGTTAAAAAATCCATGGCGGATAACTTTTCGAATTTTAGGTTGGCTTTGTCCTTAATTCCTTGTCTCCAATGAAATTACGGAATAAAATATTTAATTTCAATTCTAAAATGTACACATACTTACCTCACTTATCCAGTCAATCGACAAGCAATTGAAGAGAAATTACTCCACATACTTAAACGCATAAACTTCGAAAATTAGTTCTTTCGTAAAAGTCGGTGAACGCCAAACTGACAAGCGAGCTCAGGGTTCGAAATTCAACTCTACTATTACTGAATAACCGCTACCATATAGTAAGTGATCGTCTGCGTCGTCAACGCGTAGGCGGTGTGGCGGCAGTTTGGTGGTATGCAGGTACGCCGCCTCTGTCCCCGCAAACCCCCTCGCCCATAAGCCATCAGCAAGCTGTAGCGCGAAAACTAAGCAATTTAGCGAAAAATTTGTAGAGACCTTTATTGATGGCCCAAAAATTAGAAAAATTTACGTGTAAAAAAATCCCAGATATCCTCAGCCGTTTCAGCGAAAAAGAGGTTTTTCGGGTTTTTCGCTGATTTACAAAAAACGGCTGGTTTCCGGAAAACCAAATTCATACAACAATATTCGCAATCCTTTATTACACCATTACGCCAGCGGAAATAACTTTGTGGCCATGTTATCACTTTTGTCTCAGTTTCGGCTATTTAACTGGCCTAATAAGATACTCGAGCCGCCGTACACGAATGGCTGATAGCTCATTTTAGACGTCACCCTTAAATCTAGCACTCGTGTATCCTTGCTGCTTCTTTTCGCATCCGTACTGCCAGTGTACACGAAAGCGACTGAATATCCGCGAAACATCGTGACAGCTTTCGCATTACCGAAAGAGATTATCTGCTTTGCACGAAACCCGCGCCGGTTTAAATTCGGAGCGAAAAATGCTTTCCATCATGCGAAGTGGGGCGACATGCGACGTGTTATTCAATTCCGTACAACCAAAACTCACTCGAAGCCATGTAGATTCTTCAGACGAAAAGTGACGGCGTTCTGAATATACCTGTGCATTATAATAAACGGTAGTTTGAAAAAACTAAAAAAACACGCTTTTATAGCTAACCAAATTAAAAAGTAGAAAATATTTTTTAATTACATAAAGTTTATATTATAGTTCTGTTAATAATAATAATAATAAATTGCTTTTATTGCTCATGTAAGTACAGAAAAAGAAAAAGTACATAAATCTGATGCAGTGAGCAAACGGCAAGGTTCGCTTGATTGACAACCATTAGTTATCAATCCGCGCTCCTCCACCTAACCAAAAAAAAAGTAGTATATCAGTAATAATAATACCTTATAATTTGATTTTGAGGTCATCAATTATGTATGATTGTTCGACCATCTACTACTGTAACACAAACTCCTTGTAATTAAAAATTGTTTTCTACTTTTAGCTCAGTTAGCGTGTTTTTTTAAATTATTACTTATTTTTATTTTTTTGTTCGATTTATCAATTAGTTTCTTGTGGACTTGTGGTATTGAGGTGTCCTATGAATCATTTTGTAATCTAAACATTTATACCGTCCAGTGATCTTACACGACGTAGGGCCAATTTCACCAACATAAATATTTAACGGTCCCTTGGACCAATGGGAAAATACCTTATTGAAATGCAATATGACGGAAGCTGTCAAAGGTCTCTGAATATCAGTGGTTTCTATTAAAATAATGAATAAAATCGTGAAAATTCGGCTGTATGATAAACAACACCAGATTTATTCCAATATGATGCTTTTGTTATAAATTTACATTTAACAATCAGATTTTCTAGCTGTTAAATTTAACAGCAGGTTTGGACGTTTGTTAATTCATGGCAATCTCGAATTTGTTTAGTTCAATATACTGAGTGCGTAGACATGCTATGTGAAAAAAAGTAATATCACAAATACCGAAGATTAATCGAGAAAACCAGGCATGCCAATTATTTACAATTAAGTGCTCTGGGAGTGACGCTGTTGGAAGGAGAATTTCGAGGTCCACAACTCATAGAGAGGCCCACAAACTGGGATTTAGCACTTGTAAGGTAAGTTTTCTTATAAAAAAAAAGTGAAGTAAAAACCCTAAAGTTGCACAACTTGTTTATAGGCCAAAAAAAGCCACTATTAACTCCACTGCAAAAGAAAAATCGGCTTAGATGGGCTAAAGAACATAGACAATGGACACCTCAACAATGGTGTGCAATACAATGGAGTGATGAGGCCCGATTCGAAGTTTGTGTTGGTGGCAGTCGCAGTAGAGTTATTCGCAAAAAAATTAAGCATTCCATGTTGACTGTCTGATGAGAAAAGTAAAATTTCCAGGATCCATTATGGTCTGGGGCAGTAGGTCATCAAAAGGAGTAAGAAAACTTCATCTTATTGATGGAAATGTGGATACAAACAAATATTTGGCAATTTTAGCAGAATGTCTGACATCCGACCAAGATTTTGTGTTTCAGCAAGATGGTGTAGCGTGCCATACCTCAAAAAAGGCTATAAAATGGATAGAAGAAAATAATGTACCACTTTTGAAATGGGTTTCTAGCAGTCCAGATCTATCACCTATTGAAACTTTGTGGTACAAATCTTGAGGTGGGCCAACTGAAGTGGGAAGAGGCTCACCTCCAAATCAATGTAGCTAATGTCAGGTTTTTGATTTAATTCGCCATAAAACTATTCATTTTCTTTGGAATTGCTATCCGAATTGTTAGTTATTTTGATATCAGCTTTTTTTGGTCTGAGTTTTTTTTCAAGATTCTTGTGTTTGAGTCTTTGTTCCATCTTAGCGATAAGCGAAGTTGGGCTAAGGTTAAAAGGCAAATGTATTTAGACCACATATACAGGCCGCTGGGTATTGTGGCTCACTACACCTTCAGCACATCTTCCATGGTATGACCTCTTCTTGCAATAATTTATTCGCTTACCCCAATGTATTTTGCGATTATAGAGTTGACCTACTGCACACTATTGTTGACCTCATCATGAGTTAAACTCACTACATTCGTAATTAAAATGGTCGCATAGACCCTTTATTGTCCATTATCAGCCTTGATAAAAAAGGCACTCAAGAACAATCACACCAACAACAATTCAACAACACAATATCGACGAACAGTAACAAGGGGAGAAAAATACCAAATGATCACTTGCTGAGTACCAAAATAAGAAACGATTTACATTTTAGATCGCTAATCGAAACCCGACCCTGTTATTATAAAAATTTAGCTTGGTATGCACCCGCAGTCATCCTTTCCTCTTTTAAAGTAGCGCCGACGACTGCCAAAGGCCAGCCTACCCTCGTTTCCTTTTCACCCCACCCCCCCTCGTGATTGTAGGAGCCCCGTTAAGCAACTCTGCAGTTCATCCTATAATGTGCTTCATCAGTTATACCAGAGTCGAAGTGTCCTGTCAACACTGCTCAAGCTTAAATTCTGCGAATCCCTTATCCTGCCAAATTATCTTACGGTGACTCTGTTTATGGACCTGCTCCCCTACGACGTGATGCCGAGCGGATTCAGATGATACAAAACTCATGCATCAGATTTTCCTTTGAAATCCGTAAATTTGATCATAGGAGTAGCTCTTTTGACCAGTTGGAATGGCTTAACATGAACAAATTGAGGAAACTGCATCGCCTATATCTGGCACATAAGACCCTTCTCCTTAAAGCGCCATATTATCTTTATTCAAAGCTATCCTTCCTTTGTCAGTACGATCAAAGGTCCTCTAGGAATAAACGCAACTTACTCATCCCGCGTCATTCGACAGCATTGTTCACACGTAGTTTCTCGTACTGGACACCCAAACTATATAACTGTTTATCAAGTCAGTATAAAGAATATTGCCTGAGCAATTTTTGAAAAAGGATAAAAATGAGTTTAAAACAATCGGATGGCTAGAATTTAACTTTACGCATATGCACAGGTAATTGATTGTTTCCTTTTTCTAAGAAGTGTAATATTTCAAGCTTTTCTCTTTTTGGTGGTCGATATCGTGAACTGTGCCATTCAAATGTAGGTAGGTACTTTACAGTTTGTGTCAGTGTTTTTTAGGTCGGGTTGAAAAACAGCATAAGCTGACACTCCACCTTTTCGTCACTGTTCCAAGCCAATTATTTTGTAATCACTTGACGAATAAAGGCTATTTATTATTATTATTATTATTATTATTATTATTATGTCCAATAGCAACGATTTGTTTGGTCATGGTACAATTAAGTGCAATGGTGCCTTTTGCCGAGTCACATACTTAATAATAATAATAATAATAGACGTCTTTATTTATGCACAATTACATGTAGTATAGCCAAATGTCAGACTTATATGGCGAAGTTTAGCATGCTGCTACTCTTACACTTAACCATATAGTCTCTAGCAGATGTTCAAAAGAATACACTATCCACAAACAGATTTGGTTCATTGCATCGAAAGTAAAATTTAAAAAAAAAGAGAAAAAGGCATACTTTCCAAACCCAAATGCACCAAAAAATTATTAATCTGAATTAAAGATGGAATAAAAAAGAAATGAATAATTACGTAAATTATATGTTTGGAGGGTTGAGTAATAATGTTTTAACTTTTTGTCGAAAGGCAGGCAATGAAAATTCTTTATATACTTTAGGAAGGTCATTATAAATAATAGCAACATTGTAAGAAAAACTGCGTTTAAAAAGTGTAGACGTATGCAGGGGTATTCTAATATTATTTTCTCTGAGAGTTCTACAGTGAACATCATTATTAAATGAAATTTTTTCCTTCAAATAATAAGGTTTAGACGTTAGCAGCAATTTGTGAACAAAAACTGAATAGTGATACTTGACCATGTCATTAATTTTTAACCAGTTTAGAACGGGATATTTCGCCGATACATGATCAAATTTACGTAAGCCAAAAATGAATCGTATACAATTGTTTTGAATAACTTGAATAACGTTTTTAGTGAAATTGTCTAAACAAGTATAGTATACGATATTACAATAATTTAGTATAGATATGACCAATCCTTCACATAGTTTTTTACGCATCTTAAAATTTAGTAAATACCTGTTTGCTATAAGAGTGCGCAGCCGTAGGTAGGTTTTCTGAGATAGACTTTTAACATGTTCAATAAACCTTAATTTTGTATCAAAAACAACACCAAGAATTTTTGCAGAATCAGAAAATTGCAAGATTTGGTTATTTATCTGAATGTTCAAGAGCTGTGTTAAATTGTATGTTTTTCTTTGTGCGCAAAATAATAACATTTTAGATTTTTGTGGATTAATAAGTAGATTGTGATCTAAAGAGTATTTAATTAATTTATTAACATCGTTTTGTAAAATTTGAGTAGTATTATTGACATTATCTGGGTTAAAATAATGAAGCAATTGCGTATCGTCTGCAAATGACTGGACATGAGAATTATCAATACTTTTGCTTAAGTCGAACGTATACAGGGTTACAGGAAAAGTCGTGCTAGATCCGTTAAGGGCGTGTAGTACCCATCATTTCTGACTTATTTCATTATGAAACACCCTACCCTAAACTTAACCCTTTTCGAGATATTCAACTTTTAATGTTTTTATTGAAAATTGCCGATTTTTAGGCTACTAAATGTATTTATTTTTATTTTGTGTGTGTTATTATTACTATTATTGCATTTTAACATGTGTAATAAGATGCTTTAGGACGTCAATCATTAAAATAGTCCATAAGTTAATTGAATAGGCCGTAGTAGATAAGTGAATGTTAAGAAATTGAAAAAAATATCAGAAAGTTTATTTTTCTCGAAGGGATATCTAAAAAAAATATTATGGCAATTGTTCGGCAGATGTGTTTTAAAATATCTATGTTTTATCAGCTATCTAACGAGGTATAACAATCTAGGATTTGTATTACATTTCGTAGAAAAAAAGTAGTTGGGACGCTCCAGTAGCAGTTCCCACGCCTATTCTCCTTCAAGTTTAGACGCACCGTGCGAGCGAGACATGACGATTTAATGTGGGTGCGAATGAAAGAAAACATATTATAATAACCGGTTAGGGCTGGAAATCCAACACGGGATGTTGTTTTGGTTGTCAGTCTGCTTTTGTGCTTCGTACATAGTAGATGTGATATCGTTTTGCTCTTTTCCTCGACTTGGCTACGATTCTGGACTATTTCTTCTGATTTGTGAATACTGTGCTTGTTCACTGGACTCTGATTTGTACTTGTGATACGGAAGTGTTGAAGATGACGTCCTACACACCTGAGGAATATGCTGATATGCTTATTTGTTACGGATACTGCGATTGTGTATCTGCGCAAGCTCGCAACGAATACAGAACTCGCTTCCCCGGTCGTCGAGTGCCGGATGTGGCCGTTTTTAACAGAGTTTATCTAAGACTTCGAGAAACTGGCTCTGTTATATAATACAGACCTGGGAAGACCACGAATTTATGACAGCGAAGAACTGCAGGACAATGAGATAGTGCAACGCTTTCGAGCGGATCCGACCATTTCCACTAATCGTGTTGCCCGTGATCTGGGACTTTCGCAATGGAGAGTGTGGTTTACAGTGCATACTGCTGGCCTATACCCGTACCATTACACGCCGGTACACACTATTGAAGAAGGAGACCCCGCGAGAAGGTTGGACTTCAGCAGATTTATGCTAAATGCTGACGTAGAAGACCCAGATTTTCTAAGAAATATCTTATGGACAGATGAATCCAAATTTGATAACGATGGCATAACTAACTATCACAACGCCCATTACTGGGCCCCAAAAGTACTAAGGAATCCCAATAAGAAAAGAGTGGCGAGGTCCCAACGAAGATTCAGCGTGAATGTGTGGATGGGCATTATCTCCAACCATTTGATTGGACCTTACTTTCTCCCGGACAATCTAAATGGGGAAAATTACGAAAACTTCTTGAGAGGAGACTTCAGAGATTTGCTGGATGATCTGCCACTCAACTTGAGAAGGGACATGTGGTTCCAACATGATGGCTGCCCTGCCCATTTCAGGAGAAGTGTCAGAGACTGGCTGGACACAAATTATCCAAACAAATGGATAGGACGAGGTGGGCCGTTGCCATGGCCAGCAAGAAGTCCGGACCTAACCCCCATGGATTTTCATGTATGGGGGTGCATGAAAAGTCTTGTCTACAGCGAGCCAAATCCAGTTTCGTCTGTGGAAGAATTAAGAGAAAGGATTGTCGATGCAGCAAATCAACTAAGGGCAACGTTGACCACTGCAGTTGTAAAGACTGGTCTCCGTAGAAGGATGCGACAATGTGTTAGAAACAGAGGCAGCCATGTTGAACATGAACTGTAGAGTAAGAAAAAGTTGTGTGAAAACCTGATTTAATAAATGATATTTCATGCTTACCTATTGTTTTATTTTACTTTTTAGGGCTAAGTATCAATTTTCTTCTCCACTGTCGCCTATGAAACTAAGTTTTTTCAATGCATTTAAATAAAATCCTAGATTGTTATACCTCGTTAGATAGCTGATAAAACATAGATATTTTAAAACACATCTGCCGAACAATTGCCATAATATTTTTTTTAGATATCCCTTAGAGAAAAATAAACTTTCTGATATTTTTTTCAATTTCTTAACATTCACTTATCTACTACAGCCTATTCAATTAACTTATGGACTATTTTAATGATTGACGTCCTAAAGCATCTTATTACACATGTTAAAATGCAATAATAGTAATAATAACACACACAAAATAAAAATAAATACATTTAGTAGCCTAAAAATCGGCAATTTTCAATAAAAACATTAAAAGTTGAATATCTCGAAAAGGGTTAAGTTTAGGGTAGGGTGTTTCATAATGAAATAAGTCAGAAATGATGGGTACTACACGCCCTTAACGGATCTAGCACGACTTTTCCTGTAACCCTGTATATGAGGAACAGATTATGATTGACTTTTTTTGGTAGTGAAATACGAGCAGATTGTAAGCATATAGTCTATCATCGAACATTTCCATTTGAGTGAATAACCCATTGGACAAGTAAAAAATGGATTTTTTGCATACATGGACTAACGACTTCACTTGATTTTTTCAATTACCTAGATACGCAACTATGCCGCCATTAAAGCGACGCCGTATCTCTAAATGTTTCCGGAATGCCAATGATGAGGATTGAATTTGTAACAACCGATACTCACTACTTGATTGGACTTGTCGCCATTTGAATTCGTTGTTCTACAGAGTGTTTGTAATATTAGTTAATAGATAGAACTACAAAAGACAATATATCGTCTTTGGTTTTGGTGGTCCTCACCACTTGTTATGTCTTCTCCAGTTATTATTGTCCGCTGCATCGCGTCCACTTTACCGTGAATTCTCACTTGGATGTATCTTACCTGAAACAAAAAACGTATTGTAATAAAAATTGAGATGGCATAGATTTTGGAAATATTCATTGTTAGGTAAGAGGTCATTGTTTCGAAATAAGTAGCAATCCTATATCTAATAATAGTTCATTCTTAGTAAATAAACGATCTATAAATCTAACAAAAAATATAATTTTATTATCAAATCAAAACTAAATCCAAAATCCATCTGACCCAACCCCTGAATGAATGAATCGTAAAATTAGAGACATTCCGGCCACCATAATGCACCTCTATATTCCCTAGATCTCAAGCCTTGCCTTTCTAGCGAGGCTGAGTATGGCCTTGAGTCCAAGCTCCTTGAAGTCCTGAGGGTCCAAAGAAATGGACCCCAGTATAGTCTGCCTGTTTCTCTACTCCGCAGTGCTCAAACAATGGTTTCTCAGCCACCAAATTGAGCAATCTCCTACCCATCATATCCCACACGTGCTCAATTGGGGATAAGTCGGGAGATCTTGGTGGCCATGGTAACAATGTGACATCATTATGTTGAAAGAAGTCTATTGTGACTCTTGCAACATGTGGTCGGGCATTATCTTGTTGGAAAGTTGGATCTGCCAGGGTGTCAAGATAGGGTAAAAGATGGGGTTCTAGAACTTCGTGGATATAACTCTGCGCATTCATGTTACCTCTGATGAAGATTAAAGGTGACCTGGAACCATAAGCTATAGCACCCCAAACCATAACTCCAACAGTGTGATGAACATGTCTTTCAACAAAAAACTGTGGATTCCTCCTTTCACCACGTCGCCTTCTAACCCTGGCACGACCATCGTGCATGCCTAAACAAAATCGAGACTCGTCACTAAAGACAATACTGTTCCATTCCTGCTCCCAGAGTGACCGTTGTCTGCACCACTCAAGGCGATTACGTCGGTGTTCTCGAGTTAAAGGGAGGACCCAGTGTGGCCGGTATGAAAACAAGCCAAAACTTATAATAGGTCTTCCGTGTTCTGCAAACCATTCGTTTGCAATGGACCTGGTAGTGGAGAAACGGTCTCTTAAGGCCAATAATCTTAGGCGGCGATCTTCACGGTCTGTTGTTCTACGGCGGCGTCCAGTGCCCCTTGCTCTTTGCGTACGACCTTCTCGAAGCCATGCCTGACAACACCTAACTACAGTGTCTACACTTCTTTGCACTCTAACTGCAATTGCCCGAAAAGAAAGTCCAGCTTCCCGAAGTCCCACTATACGGCCCCTATCAAACTCACTAAGTTGACGTACTCTAGGCATCGTAACTGATCGTAAAGGATGTCAAGAACCAAAATCCGCCAACGTTGATTCTTTACTGCGGCTGAAATATTAATTTTTAGAGCGTTAGTGAATTAAAAAAAAGCAGTATAAAAACCGGAGTGTCCAACTGATAAGGCTGAAAATTTTTTCACTTGTTATTTACAGTAAGATAAATACATTCACCAACTTTTATTAAAATAAAACCATTTAAACTGGGTGTTCGGATTTATATGTCACTTAGTATATAAAGCAAGTTTGCTCATTTCGCTATTCATTACATCTCACTTAATCACTAACTGAAATTAATGTATCATCCGTAAACAAATTTACAAAAGAATTGTTAAGGGCAACAGAAACATTACATGTTATCCTACTTTCAATTTTTACCACTTGTAACCACTTCGATAAATAATCACCCACCCACAAGAGGGCTAATTCCATAGATTTTCTCAACAGTTTCCGGTCAATAGTTTCAAACGCTCTTTTTAGGTCAACAGACACACGCACAATCACTTGTACATACAAATTGGCATACAGTTTCACATGAATGATTCCTTCTGAACCCGGATTGCATCTCAAAAAGAACACCGTTCACACGTAGATGCTCACTCAGCTGTTCATGCACGGTTATTTCTATAATTTTCTCCACGACTGGCATAAGATTGATGGATCGCAAGTCTTCTTGCTTACGTGGATTATTTGTTTTGAGTACTGGGACTATAATGCTCCTCTTCAACAACGAAGGCGTCTTTCCTGACATGCTTATTGGACCCTACCTCCTCGACTGACCGGTGAAATTTATTCAGAATCTGTCACAATCATAAGAAGATGTTCCTCTAAATGTGAGATGGAATATGTGGTTCCTACATGATGGGGCTCCACCGAATCTTAGACGATAAGTTCATGAACATCTGAATCGTGAGTTTTCGAATAGAAGGACCCATTTCTTGGCCTGCTCGCTCCCCGTACTTAATGCCTTACGATTTTTTTCTGTGAGGCTATTTGAAAGAGTTTATGTATCATGATGGATGGATAATTTTGTTTACATAATTTTTAATAATGTAAGCTAACCCTCTTATTATGCAACTTTTATATAGGTGATTTTCCATATCACCTTCTTTTGACGAATTCTACAAGCTGTTAAAATAAATGGCTCAACTTTCGATATTTTTTGAGAGAAAAATGGTACGCCAATAGTTTTTTGCTGAATAAAAATTATTTTTGAATTGATTTCTTTTTGTGGGGCTGTCTTAAGACACTAGTGTACACAAGTCCCATTAACACTGAAGATGAATTAAGAGAAAGAATAGTTGTAGCTTGTGATAGAATAAAAAACACTCCAGGGATATTTCAACGAGTGCGCAACTCCATGAGAAGGAGGGCAGAAGCATGCATAGTAAGTGAAGGGGGCCTTTTTCAACAGTTTTTGTAATCATTTCGTTGGTTTTAATAATATGTTGATGTTGTCAGTTGTGGTTGTTCATTACCACTAATGTGTTTAATTTTTCCAATTAAATTAATAATAATTTTGCAAGTTAGACAATAGAACGGTTTTTATTTTTTTACTCAAAAATGGCGCATGGAAGAAAAACAAGTCAGGAAAAATCGTTTGTTCTAAATTGAACGGGGAATTCAAAAATAATTTTTATTCGGCAAAAAACCATTGGTGTAGCATTTTTTAACAAAACTGTTAAAGCTAAAAATTATTTTTGCATTGAAAAATATGCAACTTTCACTACGTACTGAATATCAGTGAAATATCTGGAGCGGTACTGTAAATATTAATTATTTTCGATTTTTTTCCTGAAACTTCAACACCCCGAGTTTTTGTTTATAAAGCAAACTAACATGTAGATTCACATCCTTTAATATTGGCATATCATTAAGGAACACCCTGTGAAAGAGATTCTTCAGTGCCCAAAGCAACCATGGAAGAATTAAGTAAAATGGTTATCATGTTTCAGAACCTACAAATGATATTTTAAAATTGAAAATCTGGTTAAGTGTCCAATTACTCGTGCTACTACATGCATTGGGAAAGGATCATAAATCAAACATCCATACTCATTTAACAAAATAACAACTGACGAAAGATGCTGATGCTTAAATAGCTGCCGATCTTTTCTTGTCCCAAAAATCCTTCAAAACCTCCACGTAAACAATCGACTGCGATGAGTTGGCCATTTGTACAAGGATGTTGCGAAACTCTCCCGTAAACTACTTTCGTTTGAGCTTACAACGGGAATTTTAGCAGTAAGCATTCTCAGTTACCTACGTTGCTACCAAACTTTCTGGCATTCATAATTCTTATCTGAGTCGGGCAGGCCGAATTAAATGAAGTTATCCGCACGTTTGCACCAGCTAGATGCACCGGTTCAGATATAAGATGATTTATAGTTTGCGCTTCATATGCGGAGCTATAAAAGTACGTATTCTGCGCAACATCCGCAGTAACATTGCTTTAAATAGTTACTTACGAGATAATTCCTATAGAAAAAGTAAAGGCCCATTCTTGGCCGTAGTTGAAATAAAATTTTGGGACAGATATCGGACTTCCGTGCATAAATGCTCACAAAAATCAAATCTGTCACAGAACAGCTCAGCTACCCAATTGATTGGACAGTACCAAAAGGAAGTAAACGGAAAGCTATTCGCTGTCACATATACAAGGTACCTTTAAAGTTGAACCATTTACTTCAACTGCTTGCAGGACTCGTCAAAAGAACTTAGTATACCAAAAATTATCTATATAAAAGTTGCATAATAGAATAAATAGTAAAAGATTAAAAATTTCAAAATACAAGAATGTTATTACACAGATTTTTTGATATTCTCGTCGACTACCGTGTAAAATCTTAGCATTTTTTGCTTACTACGTTTGTATCGACCTAGTAACTATTAGTTCTACTGTTAGTGATGTCGCAAAACATTTATCGACAATCATTCATTATCGATTGTGGGAATATATCTTTTTAAACTTCTTGTATACATTGAGCATATTGTATTCACAAATGCGAACAGATTTATCCTTCACATACTGGAATAATAATTAAATTTTTATAATTTGGGATAAGGAGTGAGTTTGTTCTTAACCCGTTTGATAATACTGATCAACAGCCAAAAAATATCCTAAATAAAATCAACAAAATATTACTATTTTTAATGTGCTAAAACCGGAATGAAACTTATTTTTTCAATATTAGTTCAAGTTTTAGAGATACGGTAATTATATGTGTTCCTGCTATGACAGTGTTAATATACTGTAATTCACAAGAATGCACGTGCTACATTTTTATATTCGGCAAGGAAAGATGATGTAATCGGCATGATTGTGTTACGTTATACATACGTGTACATTATATTGTTTTATATTAGCCATTTTTTCCTCAGTTGGCTGACAGCGTTCATGCAAGATGTCTCGAAAGTGTGTAAACAATCCACATCAGTTTTGTTACGTGTGTGGTGATGTGACTTTTGCGTCTCAGAGACGGTCTATTACTCCACTAATAACAAAGGCATATCACCTTTATTTTGGTTGTAAACTAGGTGATCAAGACAAACAGTGGGCACCCCACATCTGCTGTAATACATGTGCTTCAAGTCTGAGGAGCTGGTTAAATGGCAAAAAACGGTCTATGCGCTTTGCTGTCCCAATGGTTTGGAAAGAGCCTACAAATCATATTAATGATTGTTATTTTTGCATGGTACCTTGTGTTGGACAAGCCACAGGTATGTCC